GGGACTGACGGGGCGGGAGAGCAGCTGGGTAGACTGTGGGCAGCAGGTGTCTGTGTGTCCTCAGGGTCTGACCTTGCCACCCTGGGAGGCAGAGCAGTGTCTCCTGAGGACACATTAACATGTGTGTGAGCAGTTCTGGCAGCTGGGGAGGAGCCGGGGATGGGTTTGTGACAAAGCCCCTTTCCCAGGCTGAAACTGAATGAGAAAGTGTCACTGGAGAAAATCAAATTCCACTGCATGGATCACGACGGCGGGTCCGTTTTTGTGTCACCTGTGGACAAGGAGATCTTGCAGGCCCAAAAGAAGGTAGGAAGGAGCAGAGGTTGGTTCTCGCTGGGGTGAGCCTGAAGATAGAACCTGGGGATACCAGTCGGAGGAGCCCTGGGGAGGGGAGGGAGCTGCTCTGTGTGTGGCTCCTGTGGGGACTGGCAGGATGGAGGGCTGGGGAGGCAGCTTTCTGTTCCAGTCCTGTGCTTCCAGGGGTTAAAAAGTAGAACTTTTTCTTCTATGCTAAAGAAGAAGCAAGGAGAAGATCTTGTGAGCAGATGCCCTTGCCCTCTTCTCTGTACTTTCCATGGGCTGATGGCAGCACCTCACAACTTTATGGAAACAAACCCTTCCTACTCGTCCCTTCAGGTGGTGGAGCACATCGAAAGTGACCTGGGGGTCCGAGTTCAGCATGTGTCAATCCACAAGATGAAGTATTCTTTCCAGATCTGGTCAGCCATGATGTCGTCCAAGGACAGCAATGGAGAGGTGCGTCAGACCGAGCTGGCAAAGGCACAAATTTGGTGGCAGCAGGGAAGAATCAGCTGCCTGGGGCCAGCAGTGGAGAGTTGTAGGTTTTCCAGACCTGCCTGAGGGCTTTCCCTGCTCCATTTGTCCCCTCAGTCCTCCCTTCATCTCTTTCCAAAGACACACAGCCCCTTCTCCCTTGCTCTCCCATGGGATGAGGCCGTGGCTCCCAGCAGAGGAGCAATGTGGTGGAGGGAGGGGAAGGTCGTTTTGACACATTGACCTTCATGCAGGTTGGTAAGTCAGCCCAGCAGGGAGCATCCTGCCTCACTCTTGGCTCTGTGCTCTGTTGCAGGCTGAGATTAACAGCTTTTAGGATGCCAGGACAAGCAGGGCATTAGCAGTTTTCCAGCAGCAGGCCTGCCTGTGTTATATTTCCCTTGAATTGCAGCCACTGTGCTATGCTCTGTGCATGCAGGGAGGTATTTTACAGAGAAAAATCCTCTCAGGAGTGTCGTACCTTGTGCATTCCTGGCATGTGGGGAGTGGTGGGAAACAACACAGCCCCATGCACTAAGGAGGGCACATCTGGCTCCTCTGCCTCCTTCCTGGTCCCATGGCCATACCATAAGAGTAAATGCCTGAACATTATCTGGACATCATCCCTTGCATCATGCCCGTTGGGTGCTGGAAGGTGCTGCTGTGGGAGGCTCTCCCTCTTTCTTCCTGCCTCTGGCAGGGAGAGCTGCTCCTGCTGCCACCCTGGATCAGTGCTAGAGCTGCAGAGCACTCCTGATGTGTGAAATGAGCACTCACAGGCATCTCCTGTGTGAAAATGGGAAGGGCTCACATCAGGATAACAGGACAGCTGGAATTCCACTGTCCCTTGCAGCCTGTGCCTCCCTGCTGTGTGCTGGCAGTGCTGACGGGGGGAGTGGGTGTGTTACAGGAGGCACAGCGATTCACAGACCTGCTGGGGGACCACGGGAAGCCGGTGTGGCCGCTGTGGGAGCTGATGAAGTGGCTCGTGGGGATGTCTTCTCACACCTTCCCAGCTATTGGTGAGGCTGGGGGGAGCCCTGGGAAGTGCAGAGGCAGTGGTGGGGCAGAGGAGTTGTTATATACAGGTAGTCCCAGTGCCTAGCAAAGGGACTTGGGGTTTGTGCTGAGCAGCTTCAGCCTGGTTTTGTAATGACACTCAGTGTCTTTGAGTCACATTCAAGCTTGAGGGAGAGTTGGCTGGATCTTTGATGCATGGGAGTGGGTATCCTAGGTGAGGATGATGAACTCCTGCTGTGAGCCCTGTCAGAACTGCTGGGGAGTTTAGAGGGAGCCAGTCAGGGTCTGCACTGATCTGATTTCATAGCAGCAGGTACCAGAGAACCCTAATCAGTGCAGTTGGGCTGTTGTCTAATGAGTGCTGAGGTGGCTCTGCCAGCTGTGCTCAACCCCAGCACCTGGAAAGCTGGAAATGAGGGGCAGGCTGAAAGCTTGTCCCTTGGCAGATCTGGGGGGATGCTGCCCACAGAGTCATGCCAGGGGCAATCTGCTGTGGGTACTGGTGGGCAGGGGGACTTGGGGGGTGCACTAGGACTGGGGGATGCTGGGTGTGGCCAGGCAATGTGCTTTGTGCCCCACATAGCCCAGTTTTCTCGCTCTATGTCCCTATTTGTACCCTTTCCCTGCAGCCCTGGGGCTGACGGAGAAGCTGATGAAGCTCAACCACAGTGGGAATGCCAAGCTGGTGAGCATGGGGAAGAGCCTGCAGGAGGAGATGGAGGCGCTGCTGGGGCAGGACGGGGTGCTCCTCTACCCCTCACACCCCACCATCGCCCCCAAGCACCACTCCCCCATCTGCATGCCCTTCAACTTTGCCTACACAGGTGAGCAGCTCTGGCTCTTGTGGGGTGCAGGTAGGGCTGCCCAGGCTGGCAGCCAGGGTGTTGTACCCAAAATGTTCCCATTGCTGATGGTGGGCTGTGCAGCACAGAGAGGGGTCTGGCTGCTCCACAACAAGAGTTGTCACACTTTGTGCCATGGGGCATCTTTCACCTGCTGTCCACAGCGGGGCAGGTCTGAGTGATGTGTCTAATCTCAGGGGCCAGTGTGCCCAGAGGTGTTCCAGCTACTGCTGTGGTTTAGCAGGAACCTGAGAGCCAGCATATCTTGGGGTACAGTCTGGGGCTCCTTGCATGGCTTCCCTATGGCCCGAGCACCTTGGTGCTAGTGCTGGTGTCAGTGCTGCCTGGCTTTGGAGGGATGGAGGAGTAGTGTCCCAAACCAGATCTTGGCATGCCATCCCTCATAGGTGCTATTTGCAGATATGATGTGTACACTGGGAACCTCTGGCCAGTGATATCCCTTGTCACCATGTCACAGCACCACTGTGTCAAGCACCAGCTCCCAGGAGAAACACGACGTGCCCGGGGTGGGAGAGCCAGGCAGTGGTGTATCCTGGTCACTGTGCTCACTCTGATCCATCCTTTTCTCTTCCAGCCATCTTCAATGTCCTGGGCCTGCCGGTGACACAGTGCCCACTGGGGCTGGGCAGTGAGGGGCTCCCACTGGGCATCCAGCTGGTGGCAGCTGCCTACAACGACCACCTGACACTGGCGGTGGCCCAGTACCTGGAGAAGGCCTTTGGAGGATGGGTTTTGCCAGGGAAAGTTTAGCCTTGGGAGGCAGGAACAGAGAGGGTGGTGCCCAGCGAGGCGGTGGCAGGTGCTGATGTTCCCTTTGCATCCCACTGCGCCCTCCTGGGAGCAGCTGGCGGTGCCTCCGGCCATGGGGCAGCCGGGCTGTTGCTGTTGGATTCTTCATCCCTGCAGCACCTTCTGTCAGGGAGAGACCTGCCCTCCCTGAGCCCCTCAGGAGCCCCAGTGCTGCAGGCTGAGGAGGTCCTGCCTGCAGTGGGCATCCACCTTTTCCTGGCCATGGAGATGGCCAGCGCTGTAACCCTTGCTGCTTTTGAAGATGCTGAGTGTGATCTTGGCAGAGGAGATGCTACCAGACTGCTGGGGGGCAGCCACTCATCCCCTGTTGGGGCCCCCCTGGGCAAATGAGGGTCCTCCTTGGCCTGACCCTGCCCACAAGACTGGACTGTGCCTGCTGCACCCAGGCTTGGCAGCCCCCACAGCCCCCCTGGTCTGCTGCAGCATTCCCACTGCCCTCTGACCAAAAAGGGAGAGGGGCTGAGGGGGCTGGACTGAGCCCTACTCCTGCCTCACCAGAAGTGCTTTGTGGGGTAAGGGGTGCTGGGCTCTGCCATGTGTGCAGTTCCGGAAGGAGCTGTTGCTCTGAGAGCATTTGTAGCACTGGATAAAGTATCTCCTGCCTGTTTCTTCCCCTTCTGTCTGGGAGGGATCACTCCTGCCACCTGCCCTGCCAAGCTGCCTGGCCTGTGCCCCAGGAGTGGACATGGGCAGCGATGTGGGGAGCTGTCTGGGTGGACAGCAAGCACAAGGTGTTCTCAGTGAGCGTGGTATTAAAGAGTCTGTCCAGTCTGCTGTGGCCATGTGTCCTTGTTCCTGATGGCTGTCACCGTGCCAGCTCCCACTGGGCACTGGCCCCATCTCTGCTCGGGATGTGTGGGATCTGCCCAGTGCTGCTGGCTGTTGGAGCAGTGCAGGCACAGTAGTGGAGGTGCTGGCATTGACCCCAGGTGTGGCACTCGGACACTGTGGGCCTCTTGTTTTGGAATGCCCTAGCTGATGGTGACTGCTCAGCCCCTGGCAGCACTGAAGAGTGCCAGCAAGCTCCACATGCTGCCATCCATGGCTCCATTAGTCCTTTAATGGTTGCAACAGCCCTTGGGAAGCTCAAGTCTGGCTGCTTTCTGTCCCAGTGGGCTGCCAAAGGCCTGGGGCTCGTGGGGTGATGCACAACCACATGCAGGTCCCTTGGGGTCTCTAGGGCAGAGCTGTAGTCTCAGCCCTGTGTGTCCAGACTGCAGCATTAGTCTTGGCAAGGATAAAACTTGTTGTTCGTTTTGCAGGGACATCCTGGCCTGTGTCTGCCCTGCTCTGTGTTGCCCCTGGCCCAACCCCCATGCTCCTTTCTGTCCCCGGGCCACTGATGGTCCCTGCAGGGGGGGTGCAGGGTGCTGGGATGGGGTGCAGGCAGCATGCAGCAGGGTGCTGGCACTGGCTGTGTCTTGGCTCTGGCGTGCAGAGGGCACTGCTGAGCACCCATGGCCCGCGGGGATGCTGCCAACAAGGAAGGAAGGGAAAAAAACAAACCCTGGCTCAGGAAAAAACGCACAAACCACCAAAGCCAAATCACATGTCACTGGACGTCTCCCAGCACAGGGGCACAGAGGACTCAGACCTGTCCCCAGTCTGGAGGGAACCTGGCAACTGAGCAGACCCTGATGACGCTTCCAGTGAACGCTCAGAGCCGGATGTGGGGCTGCTGAGCTGAGGGTGTTGCATTTTACAGAGCGTGGTGGGCACAGGTGGGTTCCTGATACAGCAGGGACCAGCAAGGAACTGCGTGGGTCAAGGTAGGGGGGAGCACCGGTACCTCAGGTGCCATGACAACAGGGATGCAGGCAAAGGAGGGGATGTTGTGGAGAGGGGGTTAAATCCCCACAATCTCAGCCAACGGGATATCCACCACGCCATACTTTTATGGTTGCTACAACACGGGGAGGGTTGCTGAGGTTTTCCCTCTGGCCAAGGCAGAAGGGGAACAGGTGTGCTGGGGTCATTGTGGGGCTTGCAGGGACTGGCCTGTGGCCACCCTCACTGCTGTGGAGGCACTGTCTCCCCTGTGCTGCCTCCAGCAGCTGGAGAAGCCCTGTCCCTGCCTCTGCAGGCAGCCGGTCCATCAGTTCCCCAGTTCTGTGCCCCCAGTCTTGGGGACTTCTTCCTCCAGGCAGAAATGGTCCTGCCTTCGCTGGGGTCTGCTGCTAAGCCGGGAGGGCTCTTGCTGGCTTCGGGGTGGGGGCAATCCCTAAACCCACTGCCTGTGCTTGGGCTCTGGAGTTTCAGAGGTCTTGCCTCTGAGCCCTCACCCGCGGTTTGCAACTGCACGTCCCTGCTTGTTGGCTGCTCCTCCTTGTTTCGAGCTCTGAATGCTGCAAGGGACAGAAAACAGGGACAGCATTTTGTACCTGCCTGCCGAGGTGGCTGCGCTCGTAACATTAGCACAGAGTCAGTGTGAAATGGGAAGAGCGAGAGGCAGCAGCTGCAGTGAGCCAGCCCCGCTGGTGTCCTGTCTGGCCAGGGGATTCTCCCACCCCTTTGCCTCTGGAGGTGGCCCCGGGCTCCCCACAGGCGGACGTGTCCCTGCAACCAGTAGGTTGGCACTGGTGGCCTCAAAGCCCTTGCACATCTCCCCCAGGAGAGGAAGGTTACCTCCGTGGCCATCAACAATAGGGAAAGATTCCTGGTAGCTGAATCACGGGGCAAGGCCATGGTAAGGAGGGGTTGGCCAGGTGTCAGACAGAGGTGCCCAGTGGGACAAGCCTCTGCTGTGGTTCACAGGACTGAGGTCTCTGCTAACAGCCCCAAGGGGTCCCTCGGGGTGTCCCATTGTACCTGGTTGGGTGCCAGCACACATGGGGCGCTCCCCATACCAGGGAGGCTGTGGGAGGGCTGGGGGTGTCCTGGCAGCGGTGTCACTGGTTGTGCCAGTGTGAGTCATGCCCAGAGCTGGGCTGAGTCACCTCCACAGTGGTGTGAGCATTGGGTGAGGAGGTTTCACAGACCCACATCCCCGTGACGTCGGCAGCCTCTCTGTAACAGGCACCTCTGTGCCACGCTGGGCATGCAGACTCCATGGGCAAGGCTTGCCTGTGGCTGGTGTCGCTGGCTGAAGCTTTTCAAAAAAAATATCCTTTCTCTAACCACAGGTCCCAGCTGCCCATCATGTCTGCAGGTGGCAGAACAGCTCCAGCACACCCATCCCTCGCCACAGCCCCCGGTGCGGAGGTGTAGCGTGGGGACAGATGGACGGGCCGTGGTGGGATGAGCCCTGCCCTGCACCTGCTGCTGTCTCTGGCCAGCTGCTCCCTCCTCTGGGGTAAGCTGGTGCTGGAGGCTGGGGGGACCCTGGGTGCAGGGCAGGGGTGGCACAGGGACACCTCTTAGAGCTATAGAAGGTACCTGCGGAGAGGAGGGGACCGAGCGGTTTTCAAGTTGGGAGAGGAAAGAAAACCCCAGGGTCAGCAGCAGCTGTGTCAGGGTGTCGGTGCCTTTGGCAGGAGCATGGAGAGGGTTCTCTTGGTGTGTGAGGCATTGGGGGGATGCAGGTGCTGAGCATCCTGCTGCAGAGTCAGTGTTTGCCCGCCGTTGCCGAGCTGAAGCTGGGGATTGTGGGAGGGGGAACCTGTGCAGCATAACCATGCAGTGACTGGCCAAGGAGGGGACCCTGCAGAGCAGAGCAGCGCTGCCTGACACACCTCTGCCCCCTCCCAGGGATGCTGCTGCGGCCACGGCACGTGAGGCTGGAGGCACAGAACTTCCACGTGTGGCTGCGGTGGGAGCCGGACCCCAGCTCGCCCAGCCATGCCACCTATCAGGTGGAGTGGAGGAAGCGGTAGGTGGGGAGGAGGGGGCAAAGGGTCTGGTCCCCCAACACCCTGACAGAGGCTGTTGGGGACCCTTGGTAGCCAGAGGGTTGCTGTCTGGCAGTAAATAACACAGAGGAACAGAGCAGTGGAGTTGACAGGGATCGGCTCGTCCCACCCCTGCACAGGCAAGGTCAGCTCGGGACAGTGTCCTGTTGGGTTTTGAACACCTTCAGGGATGGAGCCTCCACACCTCTCTGGGCAGCTTGGTCCCTTTCCTGGTGGCTCTGCCAGTAAAAAACAAAGGGGTGGCTTTTGTGCTGGGGTTTTGGGTTTGAGGGTTTTTTTCATTATGCTGAATGGGATTTCCTGTATTTCAACATGTGGCACCTGCCTCTCGTCCTTTTGCCAGGCATTGCTGAGAGGAAGGCTTCATCTTCTTTTCTCCATTGTGTTGATAAGACCCCTCACCCAAAGCCACCTTTCTCTGAGACTCAGCAGTCACTGCTCACTTGGCCTCCCTCGCAGCACAGAGCCTCAACCCCTCGGTGGGCTCTCCCTGCCCACATGTGTTTCCTCATCGCAGAGAGCACAGGTCAGGCTGTAGTGCCAGGTGCCCTCTGTCCCCAGGAGGGACTCGACTTGCTGGTGACACCCCTCCTCACACATCTCAGGACATTGTTGACCAACACCTCGACTTTCCTACACTTCCTGCCTTGGCAGGGTGGCGGTGGCTGGGCAGCCCTCCCTTTGGGCTGGGGAGGTGCCAAAAAGGAGCAATCCCTGTGCTTTCTCCCTGGGCAGGACCTCGAGCTGGATCAAGGCAGATGCCTGCAGGGGGAACAGCACTGGCTCCTGGGAGTGTGAGTTGTATTTTGACAGGATCCACGATATCTACTGGGCACGGGTGAGAGCGGTGGCCGGAGGCGAGCAGTCTGAGTGGGCCAGTTCCAGCGAGCTGCAGCTGTACAGAGACAGTAAGGACAGGGGAGCTCCTCCAGCTGGGCTCTTCCTGGGAGGGGAAAAATGGGGGGAGAGATACTTGAAGAGAGCTGGTGGGATACAGTGAGAAATCATATGAGGATACTGGTGGGAAAAGTGCTAAGAGCTCTGACTGGAGGAAAGGGATGGGGCAGAGCTGCTAGAGGAGGACTGGGTGAAGAGCAAGGGGACAGAGGAGGCACACTGAGGTGAGGACGATGGATGGGAGGCCCAAGGCCAACAAGACAACGTGAGAATTTGGGTTTCTGGAGAATGCAGTGAGTTGGGGAAAGAGGATACACCTCCAGGCTTGGCTTTGGAAAGGTGTTTTTGCTCCAGCAAGATGAAGCTGGGGCAGGCGGGGGCAGGCAGGGGCAGCCCCTCTGGTGATGCCTTCACCTTGGCTGCCATGTTCACCAGGTGGAGGAATGTGCCACTTCTCAGTCACAAACTGTCCTGTCCAGAAAGCCAAGAGGTTTCTTGGGGACAGGAAAGACTCAAGACCACTGACACACCTCACAGGGGGTTGTTGTATGAACCAAACATGCCAGTGGCTAAATGGGGTCGACATTCGTTGCTTGGGTTCCCTTGTTCATTCCCTCTGCATCCAGCTGGCATGGAAAGGGGTGTGCTTACCTAGAATGTGATTCCTGCCCTCAGCAGTGGGTCTCCAGGCCCTGGGGGATGGGTCAGGGGTGAAGGGCTTGGAACTGGGAGTGGTGGTGCCACAAGTCTGTCGGCGTGAGGAGGAAGCAGAAGAAGTGTTGGCTGTCATGAAGAGGTGGTGGCTGCCCTTCCTAAAGCTGGTTTCACAGCACAAAGTGCCATCAGGCGAGACCCAAGGAGCTTCTGTGCACTGGGAGGAGGATGTCAGATAGAAAAATATCATTTCTAGAGAAACAAGATGCCTGCCTTCTTTTGAAGGGCTTAGTTTTCTTCTTTTCTTTTTTCCCCCTCCCTATAGCAATTGTGGGGCCCCCCAAGTTGTCCTGGCTGCTCCGGGATCAAATCCTCCACGTGAACATCGCCGTGCCACTCACTCCCTACCAGAGAAGAACTGGTTCCTACAAGCCAGTGGACAGAGTGCTGCTGAAACTGTGGTACTGGCTGCACCTGTACGAGGGGGACCTGCTTGTCCAGCAGGTGTGTGGCAGCTGGGCAGGGCTCGGAGCGTGCGGGGTTTGCATGAGATTTCCTGGGGCAGCAAAGCTGCTGTCTCAGGTTGCTTTGGTGTGGGGGTGCCTGTGCCCCAGCCCTGCCCACACCTGACTGCTCCCCCAGTCTGGGGCTCACACCCCAGCAAGGCAGGAGACCCCTTTCCTCCCTCAGACTGCATGGGTAAGGAGAACCCGTGACGGGTTCTGTTCAGATGAAAGGTGATGCCACAGTGGTTCCAGAAGGCGCTCTGGGACCTGAACACCTTCTGGGGTGAAGAACCAAGCACTGGAGGTGCCAGGGAGCAGGGGCTGTGGAGCAAGTGGGACACCGAGGCTGCACTGGGCAGTGGAGCCATGCACAGCCACTGTGGTCACCTGTCCCATCGACTTCCAGGTGCCCTGCAAACGGAGCAGCGAGGAAGTGCCGTGCACCTTCGGGCCCCTGAAGCCCAGCACACGGTACTGCGTCCGGACGGCAGCCGCTGGCATGGCCAGGGAGAGGAGCCGGGAGGCCGAGCAGTGCCTGGTGACTCCGGCAAGCCCCCCAGGTGGGAGGAGCACTCTCGCCAGCTCAGCCGGCGCGGTTGCATCTCGGGTCCTGCAGTCTTGCGTGTGGGTCCCTCACCCCCAGCCATTGTGATCAGGGTTGTGACCCAGCACTGCCCTGTGGGGACCTCTCAGGGCGATGCTGTCTCACCCTCTGCCTTGGGCTTGCCTCCTGGAACATCCCAGCCTTCCACAGGGGCTCCAGGGGAAACACTGGCACAGGGTGGGCCGGGAGGGATGTGCTGGTGTCTTTCCACCCGTCAGTCTGCTGTGACCTCCCAACAGGCTTTCCCTGGCTTCCTGCCATGCTGAGTGCCTTCTTTGTGCTTCTGCTGCTGAGTGTGGCCGGGTGCTGCTTCATCCAGCTGCACATATTCCTTAAACCCTCGGAGATGCACCTCCCAAAAACACTGGTGAGTGACGATCCTCCTCCAGCCTCTGCCCCATGTGTGCTGCAGCCGAGCTGGGATACCCTCTGTTTCCAGGGGCTCAGCACCTCCTTCCCTCCACCTCTCGCCCCACCAAGCCCATCTTGGTAGCCAGGTGCCTCCTCTGCTGTCCAAACCACTGTACCCCCATGGGAAGGCACTGGTGGAGTGCATCAGCCAGCTGTGGGTCACAGTGCAGGAGGGGTCTCAGCAGCACGGCCCCCATGCTGGTAGGGGTTTCAGCTGGCTGAGGCTGACCCTGTCACTGCTTCTGTCCCTGCAGGCACTCCTGAACAACGAGCTGAGTGTGGCCATCCGGATGCCTCCCCTCGAGCTTGAGGAGGAGCCGCTGGCCCTGCTCCTGCAGACTGTGCTCTCCTCCTGTGGGCCACCTGCAGCAGGACAGGCATCGCCCACGGTCCCACTGTTCCTCCGAGGCCTCGCACAGGACATGACCAGCTACTGTGCCAATGGGTTTGGCCTGGGCTGCCCCACGGGAAGCGACCCATCCTGCACCCACAGCCTGCTGGAACATGCCTTGGGCTCCCAGGTCCCATCACAGCCGGAAAAAGATGAGAAAAGTGACGGGGATGATGTGCCGGAGCAGCTGGTGCCAGTGGGACTGACCAGAAACAGCTACATAGGTGACAGGGACAGCCGTACACCCAAGACCCTGCACCTCCAGCTGTATTCTAAATGCCAGTGCCCAGCCCTGGGAGTAGGCAGCCACCTTCCTCTGCCCATACCCAGCAGGAGCTGCAGTCAGGAGGACCTGCGGGAGGGTCTCGGCATGGCTGGGCACTGGGTCCCACTCAGCTCCGTGAAGCTGCCGGCCAGTGAGGAGGAGGAGGGAGGGCAGCTCCTCTGCGCTCTCCAGTCCCTGCCTGGCGTTGAGACTGAGCCAGGTGACAGCACCATGCAGCGAGGCCACTCAGAGCAGGCAGCACCGGGCATCCCCAGCCCCTGCCAGCCACTGCCTTCGCCCGGCAACGTCCTGCAGGCAGCTGCCTTCTCCGGCTACGAGCCACGTGCCCCACCTGGGCCACCGTGAGTGGGGGCACCCTGGGGATCTCCGGGAGCCCCCAGCTCCCAGCACAGTCCAAGGTGCCCCCCAGCCATGGTGGCTGCCTGCCCCAACCTGCTGGTGCCAGGCTGGGGACAGGGCAGGGGCAGGTTCCCATGGGCAGGCACAGGTGTGCTCCAGGCTTGGCTGCCATGGATGGGCAGGATCCGCATCTCCAGAGCTTCCCTTCCAGGATTTTGGTGCTATGGAGCTAAAGCACAAGGAGAAGAGACCAAAGTTCAACTCCCAAAACTCTTATCTATTTATCTACTTGTATGTGTGTATATGTGATACAGTATCTATACTAATGCAAATTTATGTAACACTCATATATAAACCCTCTTTAATGAAAGAGGAGATTGGGGTTTTTTACTTCTCTGGAAATACTGACTGTGTGCTGGAGTTGTTTTTAAATATCACTCATTTATTACAGAAAGCTGGCTTCTGTGCTCACTGTTTCTGTGTTACAGACCCAGCACAGCCGTGTCTGAACAGCAGCTGGGAAAGCCACTGGGAAAACTGGGGGAAGGTCAGCAAACCCTTTCTGTCCTGATACCTTTCGTTTGAGACTGGTGACTAAAACGTTTCCACCTTCGGAGCTGCACTTTGGGTTGTTGTTTTCTGTGTACACACGGCCATCTAGTGGAACCGTGGAACGGTGACATCGGGGAACGTCCACTAGATAGCGGTGTGTACTTGAAAAAGATGTAAATGCATCGTGGTTCTCTCCAGACCACCGAATGTGAAGATCCAAAGTTGAAAACGTCCTCAATTCAGTTTTGGGAAACGGACTTGCAATTTTGGCGCTGGGCTCCTGCAAGCGAAGTACAGCCCTTTCCCCCAGGAAGGAAAGCCCATCCCCTCGATGTCTCAGGTGCAGATGGTGGGCTGCCCAGGGCACTCCACAGGCAGCAAGACTTTCTGTCCTGAACCCCTTTTGTCTGGGAGCAATCTTTGGCTGTATTCAATTTTGGGAGAGGGGAAACCTCCTTGTGCTGTGCCACAGGCTGGCATCAGTGGTGTTCAGCTCTGCTGACAAATCCAGGCTCCGGGACTGATGAGATTTACTCCGGATCTGGGAACAGGTGAGAAACTGGTGTCCACGTCCACTGTGTTGGAGGTGCCAGGCTCGCACTGGGGCACAGCTGGTGCTCTGATCACAGCTGGCCAGGTCTCTGCAGATCAGAAGAGAACCAGCTCTTTTCTGAATCTGTGGCAGGGCAATGGTGCTGGGATCCCCACAGGTGATTCAGGCAGTTACTCACTGGCAGCAGAGGCTTGCCCTGGCCCAGGGGTGGCTGAAGCAGCTGGGATGTCCCCACTGATATGAAAGAGTTGTTCATGCAGAGTGGAAAAAGGCAGAAGGCTCATGACATTTCAAGATGGCATTTAGCATCTGAAGTTTCCAATCTCTTGGATGCAAGAGGGGGTTTTCTGCTTTGCCTCAGAGGTGCAAGCAGCATGTGGGACTCTGCAGAGCCACAGGGAGAAAAGGTGTGACACTTGCTGGGACTGAGGTCCCAGCATGTCCCAACAGAGACCTCTGTGCAGGACAGAGGGTCTGGGTGGAGTGCCTGGATTAGACTCTGTTTTGCTGTACCTGACCAGGTATTTTGTGCTGAGCAGGATGGAGCTGGGTCAGGTGTAAGCCCCCAGCCCCAAGCAGGCTCCCAGCCTCAGGCAGGCCTGGCCAGTCCCTCCATCAGCACTGCAGCCTCAGGCATGTACATACACCCGGCTCCTGCCTCAGCATCCCACACTGCCTCCACAGCATGGAGAGGGGTGAGCCAGTGACTGGGCTTCAGGCACCCAGCCCACCCCACAGCACCATCATCTCTGAGGTCAGATGCCATCCTGGTGCCAGCCTCGGGCCCAAGGCACAGCGCTGTGCCCGCAGGTCCTGGTGTGGGGGCTGGTGAAAGCTCTGACTCACCCGATCAACGGGCTGTTCCTGCCTTCTCTCCGTGCTGTTTTCAGCTTCTGCCGGTGCCAGATCAAAGCAACGAGAGAGATGCAGCTGCAAACAGCTCTTTATTAGAAACAGCAGGTTCAGGACTTTGCAAGAGGGTATTTCTTGTTACTAATTCTTGGAGAGTGGAGCTGCCAGCCTACGAAAATGCTGGAGAGGGGAAAATTGCTGTGTGGGGGCTAATGGGGCTTTCACAGCCTCTGCATGGGAACCATTGTGCCTGACAAACATGGGGGACGTGGTGGCCCCTGAAACAACAGGGGAAAATCAAGCTTTAATGTTTTGCAGGCTGCCAGTACCAAAGAACATTTGCCTTTGAAAGCCACAGGAGGCAGAGCTACAGTGAGCCCACCCTGCTCCGCCTGCTCTCCCTCCTACCTGTCACTGCAGCTGCCCTGCCGCCTCTGGGACAGCCCAGAGCTATCCCAAACACTCGTAGCCACCTCAAGCACTGTCCAGCACGTGTTTGTGTATCTGGCAGGGACCTGGGACCTCACTGAGTGAGGCCCTGTCAGCCAGCCTCCCCGTGCAAGTTGCCTTTGTGATGGCCCCATAGCTCCAGATGGGTCCCCAAAGTGGGACAGAGGAGCAGCATTAGAGCTGTCGTGCTGGACCCCATTCTTCAGCCAAAAAAGGCTTTGTGGTTTGACAGGTCCAAGCTGTGATGTCCAGGCCACTGACTCCTGCTGCACCTCCCTCTCAGTGGTCTGAGCTGCTTGGCCTGGCTGGGAAGTTGACTGGGATGTGGGTGGGGACTGTGGGAGCCCCAAAATCTGGAGCCTGACTGTGGAGTGTTCAGAAAATGTGCCCGGAGAGGGCTGCAGGGCTGACAGGCTGCAGAGATGTGAACTCGCTGGCTCAGACCTGTGCAGTTTCTCTCCAGGCAGGAGCTTTCCTGCAGCTCAGCAGGTCAGGACCCAAGTGGGGCAATGGGGATGCTCAGGTCACCCCAGGGCACTGCAGAGCAAAATTGGTCCTGCTTTGTGTGCTGGTCTGGGATTGCCTTTGCCTGGGGATGTGTGGCAAGTGTCTGCACTCAGGAGGTGCCATGGGCACCCTGCTGAAGCTGAGCTGAGGGAGTCAGTTGTCACCCAGCTCTGTCACCAGGTCCCCTTGCTCTGCAGGATGACCTCCCCTGCGTTGGACAGAGGAGCCTGATCACTTGCCAGTGCTCGGGGTCTGTGAGACATGGCCAGTCCTTGTGCTTCCCATCCTCCAGATGCACGCCAGGAGATGTCTGGTCTGTGGACAAGGAATGGTGGCTCAGCTTAACACCTTCACAGTCCCTGGCACTGCTTCAGTAGCTCTCTGCCCCCCAGGATCACTAATGCTCCCAGTGACAGCCAGCACCAGCAGAGCTGCCCTCTGAGCTGGGCACATCTCACATTGCACTCTGAGTTTGGGGAGGTTTCTGTGCTTCCTCCCCATGGCAACCCTCTCCTGCCCATGTCCTCACAGCACAAGTCATGAGCCTGCCTCCAGGACTTCATTCTATGACATGAAACTTGGCACTCAGGGGATGGGAAACAGGCTAGATATGGATTTTTGTTTGGAGAAAAGTCCCAGATGAGTGTCCACTTGGGATGAGGTTAGCCCGTGGTTTAGGGTGGAGAATTTCTGTGTTTTGGGGTGGAGGGTGCCCGTGGTGTGGACCAGGGCATTTCAGCTCCCAGGCTGCTGTCCTAGAACTGACTCCAAAGCTGAAGGAGAGCCTGGGAGAAGAAAGGGACATCTCCCTTCCTTCCTTTACACTTCTTGGCTGTAGCCCAGCACTGCTGCAACCCCTTGCATGAGGATCTTTTCCTTTTTCTCACAGCTTGCTTCTGGAAGTTACCTGCTACCACTGTCCCAGCACCTTCCATTGGGGCCATCCATGCATGACTGTGCCCCTGGCTGGTGTGCACAGAGCTCTGGAATGTCTACAGTCCCTGCTGGGGAAAAGGGGAAAGGCTCTGCAGCAGAGGAGGGGTGTCATGGGGCGGGGGAGAGGACCATAAGGATCCAGGGTGCAGGACTGTTTCTGCCATAGCAGTGGACCTGTGGCAAGGCAGAGTGACCACTGTGGCCTGGCAGGGACCTGCTGCTGCCAGCAGCAGATGAATAAATCCCTCTCACTGGAGCAGTGTCCTGTGGTCACTCCATCCCCACACTGTGCAGGGTCCTGTACCCTCCCACCATGGCGTGTGTGGTGTTGGCAGACAGCAGTGCCTGTGCCCTGGAAGGGGATGTCTCTCCTGACACATGCATCCCAGTGACCCAGGGCAGCAGAGACTGGGGCTACAGCTTCATTTCTGCTAAATATCAGAGGGGTTTCCACTGCAGGGAAGTTCCCTCCACCCCCCAGCACCCTCCATGCCAGCAGCCTTGGCCCCTGGCTGACAGCACACCAGCGAGGCATATTAAAATATAGTTTATTGCTGTTCTTAGTTTAAAAAACCCCAACAAACCAAAACCAAAACCCACTAATAACAAACCCAGTCCCCAAACCCAGCGCTGTCTGAGGCAGGCTTGCGAGGACACACGTTTAGTGCAAAGAGGAAAGCGGCAGTGAGGGCTGAGGGGGCTCTGCTCGCCCTGTTCCCACAGAGCCCACTGCACTCACTGTACAGTATCGATTCGTCCTGGGGTTGTTTGGGGAGGGCTGGCCAAATTCACGAGCTCTGGTGGGAGTCCTGGGGGAGCTGGAGGTGTCAGAGGGGGAGCATGGGATGTCATGGCTGTGCAGAGCAGCTTTGACGCCTCATGTCAGCGACATGGGACAGGAAAGAACAGTGCTGAGCCAAGGGGCACCATACCTGCCCACACCTCTCCAAGGACACAGCACTTTGCCAAGCAGCCACTGCCTGCTCTCCTGGGCTCTCCAGTGTGGAAACCAAACATGTGCCCTATCCTGTGGCTGCTCCCAGTTTCAGGTGCCTGAAGAGTTAGTGGGGACCAGGGGTTGTAGAGTTAGAGCATGGCTGCATCCCCTGCAAGGTCCTGCAAGGCATGGAGAGGCTCCTTAGCTCTCAGGAGCCATGCGGGACCTTGCAGCCAGCAGAACAGGGTGCTGGTACCCACAGGAGGGATGCCCTGATCCTCAGCTCTCCATCCTCAGCCCTTTGTGAGTCTCCTCACCATGGCAGGCTCTGGCATCACACCAGGCATCACCCCCAGCACCCACCTTCCCCTGTGTCCTCAGGGGAGTCAGCACATCACAGACCTCAGCAGTGAGCACAGTCTGCCACTGCAATGAGTTGCTGGGGCACAGCCTTTTGGTGTCTTCAGAGGGAGCTGGATGCCTTGGAAGAAGAGAGGGTTGCTCAAACGCCAGCCCCAGGTGCTATACAGGGTGGCACCAGGTGAATTCAAACAGCTCCAGCTCAGGGAAGGCACTAGGATCCCAGGACGGGGTGGCTGGGACCACATAGGGCTGGCAGAGCAGCCCCAG